GACTTCAAACTCACAGAGATCTTCCTGCCTCTGCGTCCTGAGTGCTGGAATTAAAGGCATGGACCACCATGCCCAGCTTGCTAAATATATGCACACATACACCTAATTATTACCATATTGATACTTTCATGTCTTACCCATTCTTTATTATTTTGAATCAGGGTCTCACTATAGCCCAAGCCCTGAATTTACTAGTAGCTGAGGCTGGCCTTAAACTCCTGGTCTCCCAAATGGTGGTGATAAAGGTGTGTGCCACCATGCCAAGTTCATTAGTCTTTATCAGAATTTGTTTTTGTTTAGGCCTGAGCTTGGGCTACCGTCATTGAATGGCATGCCCTGGTTAGCTTAAGCTCAGTAACTTTTAGAGGCTGAGAAATCTAGCATCAAGGTTCTGGATAACTGGGCTCCTGGGAAGGGCTATCTGGCTTGTGGCTAGCTTGGTTCTTATGTGTCCTCACATGGGATGGAAATCTGTGTTCTTCCCACTTTTGGAAAGGGACATTGGCAACCAAATTTGTGGCCTCATGTATCGTAAGTGCATGCTGTACCAATGAGACACATCCATAGCAGTCCCATCATGAAATGTCCATGCTTATGACTTTAACCCTGTGTGTTCACTTCTGGGCCTGTTTCCAAATATCGTGAGAGCTTCAACTTATAACTAAAAGGATCATAAAATCCGAGAGTCATGTTTACAGTGTATCTTGTTTTCAGCAGTATTTTATAGCTTTTGATGCATATATACACATCATATATCTATACATATCTATCTATATATTTGGATCTATTAAGGATTTTGTATTTTAATAGCATTTTTGGGAATTTGAATTTTTGGTTATTATAGTACATGGAAATACAATTAATTTTTTATGTATTGATTTGTATCTTCCAACTTTGCTAAACTCATTTGTTGTTTTGATAGTCTTCGATATTCCATGATTGTGTCTTCTGAAAATAATTTTTCTTTTTTTCCAACTTGATATTTTTATTTTCCCCTTTTGCACTGGTTAAATAACTACTATACCTTAGCCTGCTCCTCTCTCAGGAGGCAGCCGCTTAGCAGTTCCTTGTTAATATGGCAGCTGAACAGTAGTGCTGGAATTGGAACATGGGGCTATAGACGTTCTGCTCCAGGCGACGGTGTCCCTTCCCTTGTCCCTGCCCTCTCCCACTCTGTCCTAGCCCTATGTTTTTTGTTTCATGTTACTTATCTGGATATGGAAGTTTCTTTCTGTTTTTAGTTGCTGATAATCTTTACCAGATTGATATTAGATTTTATCAAATGGTTTTGTGCATGCATGGAAATAGTTTAGTGAATAGCTTTTCTGTACCATGTACCATTAGCATGTACTATTTTCATTTTTAGTGAGATTTTTTTCCCTTTCTGTTCTGCTTGTCTGATCTGCTTCATCGGTCTTAAACCTTTGAAGTGCTGGCCTGCTGGTACAACGGTGTCAATTGTGGTATTTCTCTTCTCTCCTGACCAGTGAACGAGAGCTACAGATCTGAATTTATAGAGCTAAAGAAATGGCTGAAAGAAAGGAAGTTTGAAGACACAGGCTTAGTGCCTGCCTGCTTTCCAGGTAAGCGTCCTGTGGAAGGCGGAGGCGATCCCTGAAGTGGCTGTGTTGGCTCTGGAAACACATCTGTTGCTGTATGCTGGGCTTCCTGTGTTTGGGTGTGACCATCTGTACTTTACCTTACTGTCTAGAGAGAGGTGGTATATGGAAACAAATGTCAAATGAAGGAAAAATGACAATAATAAGATGAAGCACAGGGCCGGGCATGATTCCAGCACTTAGGAGGCAGAGGCAGGCCTTGGCTACATGGTGGCTCCAGGCAAGCCATGGCTATATGAGGAGACCTTGTCTCAAAAATATGAATAAATAAATAAATGGAAGAACAATAACTCTTGAAAGATATAAAGTCTTAGGCACTCTTGGGAAGGCATCAGTTGACTCATCTTTAAAGAACCTGTAGTTCTCTTCCTGCCTGGGGGCCTGTTTCCACCAGCCCACCAGGGCAGGGGGAGCAGGCTCCTAGGTGCAGAGTTTAGAAGGCAGGTGAGCCAGCACCATGGAGATCAGACACCCTGGGAACCACTTCAGGGAGCTGCTTCAGCTCTAATTCCAGAGAACAAGGGCTGTACCCTTGGGGAGTGGGTGGAGCCTCCAAGCATAGGTGTTGAAACTAGGCACTTCAAGGATGCTTGATTTGCATTAAACAGCACCTAATTATCCTATAGGTGCAGGGAGGGGAGAGCTAGCCGGGAGCTGTGTCAAAGATCGGTTATCAAAAGTGGTTCTTAGGGTATCTGTCTAGAGACATTCTCCAGATGAAGTCAGGCTGAGAGCAGGAGGCCCTGCTGGGGAGAGGGAGTCCTGCACACACCAAGGTGCTTTTCCTATACTTATTTTGGAAGAAACTGACTTCCATCTCCCAAGGTAAATGATTCCCTGAGTGTCTCCGGCTGAGTGAGGAGATGCACTTGAGGGTACTCCATATGGGTCGGTCATACCTGGTGACTGCGCTGCCAGCCTGAACATCAACAGAGGCTAACTATTATTTTCGAGGTATTATAGGGGTGGAATGTTCAGAGTGAACAGGGAGGCATGGGGTTTAAAGGTAAAATGGAAGGGTTACACAGTTGCTTTGGAGCAATTATTCACAAAATCACCAGGTCAGCCTGAGTCTAGTGCCAAGCGGAGGAGGATTGCTGGGTGGGCATCCACACACACGAGTATTTTTGTGTGAAGTTGTAGTTTTAGCAGATGGTTTGTGCTAGTTCCTGTTAGAAGACGGTATGAAGAGCTGCCCCTTCAGGCTTTCCCTGGCTTTATTTATCAGGGCTTGACTTACCGACAGCATTCACAGGCCCTGGGTCTGTCAAGCTCTCTGCTGGTTTAGGAGTGTGAGCTTCATTGTCGGCCTAGGGCAGGGTGTTTAACTTTCTGTTTCTGTGTCAAAGAATGGGCGTCAGTTGGTTACTTTGTAGCAGGTGGAGTTCTTCCTCAGCTCACTGGGAGAACAGTATCGGCCTGGCCCCTGTGCCAGGGCCCTTAGATCCTGACCCAAGCCTGGCTTTGCTGTTGATGGACAGAAAACCTCTAGAAAGGCCAGTTCATTGTCCAGAAGAGCTTCCTGGTCCCATCCTCCCGGGAGGGAAAGGCCGAGGACCCCACCTGCAGGGTTGCCTCCTTCTGACCTTTTTTCAGTCTGTAAGGGGGCAGTAGGATTCACCCTCCATGTTTTGGTTTTTCCAGGAACAGGAAGAGGGCTGATGAGTAAAACATCACTGCAGGTGAGAACTTCCTATGTGTGTGTCTGTGTCTGTGTGTGTTTGTATATCTGTGTGTGTGTGTGTGTGTGTGTGTGTGTATCAAATGTGCTTCACCACTGTAGCCATTTCTCTTACTTACTAAATGGATGTGTTTGCTTAGGATTGTGCAAGGAAGCTTGCTGTTTGACAGACTTGGAACTCCTGCTGCTGAGACAGCACTGGAGTTGATGTGTCGCTTGGACAAGCATAGAGGGGACAGACGATCTGCCCTGAGAGGGCCTGTGTACCTCTTCCGGCTCCTTGTCACCCCAAGCCTCTGTGAGGGAACAAGGTGGGGGTGCAGGCCTCATTCGCCTCCTTATAGGGATGGTTCAGCCCCAGTGTCTGCTCAGGCTTGAGGCATGCGCTCTTTGCCTGGTCCTGCACCCTGTGAGTGGAACTCACAAGAGGAGGAAGGTGGCGGCCAGGGGAGGTACTAGTGCTCCCCAGCACCCGAGAGCTTAGATTGTGTCAGTGATGGCGGCAGAAGCTGCTCTTGTCCAGGATCTGTGCTCTGACATGTGCTGAGAGCAGGAGCACCTTGGGAGGAGGCCTTGGAGCACATTCCAGAGCATGTCCCAGTCCTCCAGCTTGCTTTCTGGCCTGGAAAGTGACATTTGTGATGTAGGTCATCTCCACTGTCACCTTTTTGTGTTTTTTTTTCCTATGCTAGTTTAAAGTTTTATCCAGAATACAACTTCCCCAAAATGGCAAATCAGGTTCTTTATTTTAAAATCACATAAATTTATTCATCAAGTTTTGTGTGTGTGTGTGTGTGTGTGTGTGTGTGTGTGCGTGCGCTGGTGTTTGCACCCGTACCACACAGGACCACCTGCCCAGGGGTAGCGCTACCCACAGGAGGCTGGGCCCCGGCACATCAATCATTAATTAAAGTGCCCGCAGATCTGCCCACAAGCCATTCTGGTGGAGGCAGTCTCTACTGCCGGTCTCTTTGCCCCATGTAACTCTAGTTAATTTCAAGTGGACAAAATTAGCCAGTATAGGAGAACCCTTTGTCAGCCTGGCACAAAAAGATGTCACCATTAAACTGTAACTCTCCTTGCCTGTTTATTTCCATGATCTTGTGTTGGTGCCACAGTATAAACTGTTGTCCCGACCCACGGGAGTTCAACGGGTTCCTAAAGGGGGGTGTGCGTGAAAAGGGTGGATGGACACAGAGATGCGAAGAAGGAAGCCAAGTCTGTTTGTCTGATCAAGGCCTCGTTTATTAGAAATTTTACCCAGCTTATATAGGGAGAAGGCAGGAAAAGGGGGAAGGCGTAATTACTGCTGTGGGAGATAGCAAGAGTGCTTTCATGGCTTGAATATTACACCTGCAAGATACTGTAAGGATGTTTTCTTAAGCTATCTCACGGATGCTCTAAAACTAACAGACAGATGTCCTCACAAATCTATCACCCATGACTTAGGGTCCTAGATAACTCTTTCACTAAATAGCTGCCACTAAATTGCTTTGGCTCACTATTTGGCTTTGGCTTCAGTAAATAGCTGTAGCTCTCTGCAGACTGTAGCGTAACATTCAAAGCCTCAGCCTTGAGAAGGTTCAAGCACGTTAAAAGTTCAAAGTGTGGTTAAAATAGCACTGCCAGGGGCCATGCTTTCCCTCTTCTCCAGTCTCCTCTGGGCCATGGCCGCACTTCTTCGTGGCTGCTTTCTCCTTGAAGGCGGGGTCTCTGTGGCCTTAGTGTTCAGCCTCTGCTCTGGACATGAAGACTGTCAGTAGACTCTGGTGTCATTCCCTCACCCTGCGGAACCGTGGCTGGACCTGGAGTGCACACCTCATCCACTGTGGCACTGGTACCCCACGGTGAAGTGGCTCCATGGCTGCAGCTGCAGGAGTGGGCACCAGGCTGGGCACCAGGCTGGGCAAGGAGCCGCTGTGGCAAGAGGACTAGATGGATGGACAGCTGGTGGAGAAGGACAGCATGACCATGTGACAGCTGACCAGGAAGCCTGGCTACCCTCCTTCCAAACCTCTTTACCTGCGGGAATCATGGCCTTCTGTGGCTCGCTTCGGCCCACTGCGGCTGGGCACCTCCTCTTGGGGCTGCTGTCACCAATGTCACCGATAGGGAATTAATGACAAACTAATGAGGTCCTTTGGTTATTGTGAGAAGATTTTAACTGAAGTGGTTAAGAATGCTGCAGCTGTTTATCAGGTTCAGGCCTCTGTGACTGAACCTGTAGTGCAGGACGTTTCCTGAAATACAGCTGCTTTCCAAGTACGAGCAGACAGTTTAAAGGAGCTTTAGCTCCGGCAGCTTATCCCTGCCTATGAGACCCATCGTTGAAGGTGCTGGGTCTCACTGGTGTGCTGTTCCGCCATGGACAGTGCAGCGATGCTAGGGTAGTTAAAAGACTGCAGCAGCGTTGGAAAACATTTATGGCTCCACAGTTACCAGCCCATCCAGCTATTCCCTGTTTCAGGATGCCCTGGCTCCTTCCTCAGCACTGAGCAGAAGCGAAGGCTTCTCCAGGCTTCCTCCAGTCTGCTCAGTGCAGACGCTTGCACTGCTCTTCTGGGCAGAGACAAGGAGCCTGCAGCTGGTAACTGTGAGTGGCAAATTCTTCACGACTTTCCCACGGTCACCGACCTAATATCTGTGCTTGACCCCTGGGAGGGTGCCAACACCCCTAAAGATCCAAGTGCAGATGCCGTGCAATGAAGTGTCGCCTTTGGCTCACTCACAGGAAGCTGTTGCCTCATGTGAGGCTGGGAAGCCCCTCTACAAGAGTGTTCTCCAGAGCTGGCCACCCGTGAACGCGGCCACGGTGACCGGCACAGCCATGAGCTCGGAGGAGCTGAGGACGTTCTTAGTTCAGCACTGCCTTTCTGTGGGGCATGATAGTGTTTGCAAAGGCAAATTCAGAAGGCTTCAAGGCTGGGTGTGGTGCTGCACACCATTCTGGAGGCAGAGGTGGGCGAGTCTTGGAGTTCACGTCCAGCCTGTTCCACACAGTGAGTGTCTGGCCAGCCAAGGCCAGCTACGTAGAGACCCAGTCTCAAAGATAAGTAAGTAAATAAATAAATCATTCAGATTACTTGATATTTCTGTCTTTTCACAAACATAATAGTTTCGTTAGGGGTCTGGATACTCTAGGTAAGAAATGACCCTTCCCTGGAGCAGCTCTCTTCGGGAAAAAGTGGACTCAAGGAAATAACTGTTCGCACAAGAGTGTGCAGGAAAATTTCCGACGTACATTAGAAGCCTCACAGAGGTTGAATATGGTTTGGAAATGACCCTTGGAAAGAGGTGGACTATACAGCCAGCAGTGATGTGTGATGTGAGTTGTCAAGCTGAGGGCCTGCTTGCCATGCTAAGTTCTCTCCTCCTGCGGTAACACTCCTTCTGTAAATCACACCGCAGCGTAGGACGTGCAGCGTCAGTGTCCGCATAGGCCACGTGCAGGAGGGTCGATGCCGCATTCAGAAGGGGCTGAAGTGAGACAAAGTACAATGAGATATTTTTGTTAATATTTATAAAATATTTAAACACGTTTTCAGTCATTTTCTTTAACCTCTAATTCTTGCAAGACTATTCTAGTTCACATCAGACCTGTTTTAGGGGTGTGGTAATGAAAGGAGAGGCCATCTGGACAGCCTCCAAAGTTCTTGTATCTGTTCCCTAGTTGTCTTTTTAGTTGACTTCCATTTTTATATTTTGTTTGTTAATATATAAAGTGTATCTTTTGGTGGTTTGAATTCTTTTTGTTTTTAAAAATACTTTGTGCTGGCTGATTTAGATTTATAGATTTGAACCTGTTTCAAAGAAATTCTGAGTTCTGTTGAATGCCATGAAAATATTTTTTACCATAAACAAAATTTTTGAGACTTAGGAAACAAAATTAGGTACTTTCTTACCTCAAAAGAGAAGAGCCAAGGCATAAAACCAAGCATGCCTAATCACAGCCGAAGCCTGTGTTTGCACCTCCTAATCCTGTAGCTCATTGCCTGGGGTCTGGGGCTCACACGTGATCCTCTGGGCTCTGCCATCCTCAGCACATCTAGCTAGTCATGTAGGCTGAGGCCAGCTTTACTCCATACCTGCTGCTGCCTTGGTGGCCACTGCATCGTCCTGGCATCTCCGCTATCCTGGAATCTCCACTGTAGCAGAGACGAGAACTTCACCAATGGCCTCTCTCAGGCTCTGACGTTACCAGACCTCAGTTTCTCTTCATGGCCCCTTCAGTCCTGGGATTTTTATTGCAGCAGAGACTGGACCTTCGCTGGGCCTCTCCTGGGTCTCCCGGGGCCAAGCCTCAGCGGTTCTTCATGGTCATGTCTTCAAAGCCTTGCACAGTGTTTACCCAGGTTGGCCACCAGCTTGATGTGCAGCTTTGGTCCCCACTGGACCCCAGCTTCTGTGTGCTGAACCTGAAGGGGTGCCCCCCCCCCCCGAAGATTTTTATCTGTGTTGCTGGTCTTTTGTTAATCACAGCTAGTTTTTAAGCCCAAGCTAACCATTACTGATTGTCCTGGTAAAGCAAAGGTTTTACTTCCACAGATAATCAATTAAAATCTGTTGCATGAATGGCTCATACAGTCCCTGCTTCTTTTTGAAGCTTCACCAGCCAGACTGCACTCTGGCCCCTTGTAGGTGATGGTGGGCGTCAGCACTCAGATCTCAGACTCTTGCAAAGCTGAGGTGTTCTAAACTCTACTTTCTCTTTGTCAAGGAGGGCCAGATGATTATGTCACTGCCCGAGAGCTGCCTGCTCACCACGGACACCGTGATCCGAAGCTCCTTAGGGCCCTACATTAAGAAGTAAGTGACCACGCCTTGCGCACTGGTGCCTGCCAGTGCTGCCTCTTGAGACTTCCTGCCATTGGCGGGCATGCCCTCTGTGGCACAGGGCCTGAGGACCCAACTCTTGTCCAGCCGAGAGAGACTCGGTGTGACTGAAAGTCTTGTCAGATTTGTTCTTGATTCGCTGTGGACCATGTTACTAAGGCTTCCTGGGATGTGGGTGTGAACCCTGTTCTCTGTTTACCAGAAAGTGAGTGTGAAATGGGATGGTGTATATGACAACAGTGGAGCCTGTTTCTTTCCGTCCTAGAAAGGCTTCCCGATGCCCGCTCACTGCCCCGGTGTCCTTCTGTCGCACCTGCTTGGCCTGTGATCAGGAAGCGCTTTAGTTAGGGATGGAGAACAGGCAGTGAAGGTTGAGAGCCTTGGTTTTGGAGCATCCCTGAGGATGGAGTGAGTGAGAGCCTCAGCAGAAGGGATTTCTGTGTTGGGGTCAGATTGTGCTGTTTCCTAACCCAAGTAGGTGTCCCCTGTGCTCCCCTCACCCCAGGTTCTTGTGGGCCTTTGTGGAGGCGAGGCTGCTCTGCTCTGATTTGCTTCAGAGGGGCTGGGCTCCAGCTGTCAGCACTCCACCCAAGTCGGCACACCGTTCCTAGGGCTGTGCCTCGCTAGAGTGCGCCCGACCCATCCCGTGCTCTCCCACTAATGCTGCTTCTGTGGCTAGTAGGTCAGTCGCCTGTGTCCAGCCTGGCTCTCCTGCTGAAAGCCTCACTGTGAGCTCGTGGGTTTCAGCTGTAAGATACACAGCACAGGGAGTGCACAGGACACAAAGATCAAGGGCCGCACTGTCCAGTGCAGTGCAGGCTGGCTCGTGGAACTTTCAATTTAAAGTATTTGTGGTTAAGTAGCACTTAAGCCATTCTTTAGTAACACAAGCCACGTCCCAGTTACTCAACAGGCATTTGAGGCTTGTGTCCTGGATAAACGCAGAACAGCATTCCCCACCACTGCTGCTGGAAGTTCTGGACAGTGCCGGCTGAGACAGAAACTGTATCTGCTCCTTACATATTGCTGGGATCTTGCAGGTTTTCTTCCTGAACTTATGGGTTCTAATACAAATTATGTAGCTGTATTCTAAATAATTACTCACATTCAGCTTCTGTGCCATAGACTTAGCAATGTTCAGAGTTGAGACTCCGTGTTAACACACTTTAATCCGCCCAATTTGTCTTTCATTTTACCAGGTGGAAGCCTCCTCTGTCTCCCCTGCTGGCGCTGTGCACTTTTTTAGTCTCAGAAAAGCATGCGGGTGATCGGTCCCCCTGGAAGTCTTACCTGGACATTCTACCCAAGTCATATACCTGCCCGGTCTGCTGGGAGCCGGAAGTGGTCGACCTTCTTCCAAACCCGTTAAAGGCAAAGGCGGAAGAGCAGAAGGCCTGTGTGCAGGACTTGTTTGCTTCCTCCAGAGGCTTTTTCTGTGCTCTGCAGCCCCTGTTTGTAGAGTCTGTGGACAGCATTTTCAGCTACCCTGCTTTCCTGTGGGCCTGGTGCACTGTGAACACCAGAGCCGTGTACCTGAGGTCCAGGAGGCAGGACTGCCTCTCCGCAGAGCCGGACACATGTGCGCTCGCTCCGTACCTGGATCTGCTGAATCACAGCCCCCACGTCCAGGTGAGGAGCTGCTGTTATAGAATTCCAATAGGTAGAGACAAGGATGGACCCGCCGTGGAGGTGTAACCTGCTTCAGGTCAGTGTGTAGGCCTCCCTGCCCTCGTGCCGCTCTGAGTTGCCAGCCCTGATGTCATTCTCGCACCTAGCTGCCTCCTTTGCTTCTGTCCTGTGCCACTCTCCAGGCCTACAGGGCCCTGTGCTGAGCCACCCCCGCCTTTTCACCAGCTCAGGCCAGCTTTGTCCCTTCTTGCCCTTCAGGACTGGGGTGCAGGCTAACTTTCCTTCCTGCCTGCATGGCCATCTGTGCTCCGAGTGGGGGTGATCTGTGCCTCCTCAGCGAACTCTACAGACTTGGAGGCTCTTTGTTGTGCCTCTGTATCTCGGCACTCAGGGCAAGGTGTGATGACTGAATGGGTGGGAACTCATGTGGGCAGGAGGCTGGGGGTCATGAACTCCACTAGCGATAGTCATGGTGCCTTCCCCACTGGCACACACTGGACAGATATGTGTTTGCATTGCATGCTGGGAGAGACACCAGGGGAGAAAGGCCAGGCTTGGAGGGCAGAGAGAAGAGGCCTTGTCGGCTCATCTGAAACCTGCTCAGGGCACACTGGATTGGGATTTGTGCCTTTACTGTCCCTCCGAGAGACATGCTACCATGAAGAGATCAGTGTCATGTGTGGTCTCACGTGCCAGTGGAAGGAGCACTCAGGGAGGTCCCTGGGATGGTTCCAGCCTTTCTGCCACTTTTGTAGAAGGCATCTCCAGCCTTCAGTGTATGAGTCCAGGGCCAGGAGGAGGGTGCTGGGCCGGGGGTGAGCAACGTCGGGTCCATAGGGCATAGGTGCTGGACATGGGCACACAGCCCCCAGCGGCCTCACTTTGATTTTATTGGTGTGTGGACATTGTGCTTCAGTGACTTTATGAACTAGCACAGAAGAACACAGGCATCGTTAGTTGGTGGGAGCTGGGGGTCCTGAGCGACAGGAGACCTTTATAGTCTTAAAGGACCAGGAGCACAGAGCTGGCACAGTGTCTGTGGCCTCTTGCAGGGCACAGGCCTTAGGACCACCATCTGTTCCTCCCTGTTTGCAGGTCAGCTCCTGCTGATTTTATCTGAGCAGAGTCAGGTGTCATGTGTTTGGTTATTTTCAGAGTCCTTGGCTGGAAAAAGTCCATCAGGGCGGCAGCTTTCCCCACCGTGGCTGACCCACTGCCAAGTCTTTCTTACCACATTTTACTAAAGTTAACGTGGCCTTGGTGCGCCTCTTAGACCTCTGTTAAAAGGAGAAATCTCCTGCCTTTCTCCTGTAGGTAAAAGCAGCCTTCAACGAGAGCACCAGCTGCTATGAGATTAGAGCAGTGTCGCGCTGTGGGAGGCAGCAGGAGGTGTTCATTTGCTACGGCCCCCATGATAACCAGCGGCTGCTCCTGGAGTATGGCTTCGTCTCCTTCGGCAATCCTCATGCCTGCGTGGCTGTCTCAGGAGGTTGGTGTCAGATCCTCCCGAGGCAGAATAATGCGGTTTCCTGTTGAGATGGGAAGAGCCCTCCCAGACAACATTCAGGTTTCGCGGGCACAGCTAGCCCTGCCTTCCTGATCGAACTTCTGTATTTTAGTAAAAGCAGCAGAACTGACTGATACTCAGGGTGATGACTGAGAAGGCATGGGAGAGCTGCTTAGGAGATGGCTGGGAAGAGACCGGAATCTTTGTACTGAGATACCACCGTCACTCCAGATGGAATAAGACTAGAGCAATGAGCAGGAACTCACTACACACTTACGTCAAGCAGCTAAGCCACGAGCATGTGGCCACAGATTTCACTTCCCAGCATGTATTCGAGTCACTTATGTACAGGCTCATGAATATAGGAACTCTCAGGGAGATGCTCTCTACCATGTAGGCAGAATAACAGTTATGTTCCTTAGATTAAAGATAGACGAGCCAGGACTGGGCTGGCAAGGTGGGTCAGTGTGTAAAGGGGCTTACCGCAGAGCCTGGTGACCCGAGTCCAAGCCTCAGGGCCCACAGGGCAGAAGGAGAGAACTGACTTCTGCAGATTGTCCTCTGACCTTCACACGTGTGTGGTAACACACACCACATAACATAAATATGTGCATTTAATTGTTTGAAAGGAAGTCGAGAGCAGGGGCTTGTACAGTGACTTAGGAAGATGACGGTGGCCCTAACTGTCAGCCTCGGCCAGCTGAACCCGGCAAACAGCTACTTAGTTGTTGGTACCTTTAAAAATGGAGTAGGGCCTGGGGGTTGCCTCCAAGGCAGCACCACCGACTGGCCTGGGCAGGCGCCCCATAGAGGACAGGGAGGCTTGCTTTTGTCAGACTTACAGCCCAGATCCCTGGTTTTGTTTTTCTGTATAAGACAGAACTGAAGCCTTTCATCACCTCAAAAGCGAAACAGTGGCCCCTTGCTTTCTCTCTCCTTCCAAATGGTGTCACCAGTTGCCGGTTTTCACGGTTCACTTTGTGGCCACAGTCACCACTGGAGGACTGCTTTCAGTCTGCCTTGTAGTACTGCCATCCCCCTGTGTTAAGCAGCCTGGCTCCGGCGTTTTCCCAGCAGGGTTTCTATGGTCTTCCTCTTCTGCTGTCGGTGTGCTTAGTGGAAGCAGGAGCCTGGCTCCTGAGTGGTCTGTCCTCAGCCTTTTCACACACACACACAAACCTCATAGCTTTTCCAGGGCCCAAGAACTCAGCAAGTTGTCCTGAGGAGACACTGAGTGTGAATCAGGACACTCAATCAAAACAAATCAAAACACTTGGTTTGACGGGGTGGCCAGCGGGAGGGGAAGTGAGCTGAAGGAGAGGGGCGTGTACTTTGTCTGAACCCTGAGTCTCTGATGTTTTTCTCCCTTTGACGCAGAGATGCTGGTGAAGTGCTCCCCACCAGCAGAGAAGCAGCTGCACAAGAAGATGTCCATTTTGAGGGATCACGGCTTTACAGAGTAAGTGCTTTTCTCAGGGTTCTGGTTCCTGTAGGTGTGACACCTCTGCCTCCGAATTAGCTGACAGGTTGGTGTTTATTAAGCTCTTAGTCATGCCTGGTGTTCTACACGCTCAAGGGTGGAAGACACTTGCGAATGTGAGAGTCAAGCTTGAAGCAGTCCTGTGCGTGTCCTTAGGAGGGCCAGGGTCAGGCGGGATAGTGCTGGGCTGTCACGGGCCAGGCTGACCCCTAGAAGAACTCGTCGGCTGGCATCGGGGTACAGATAAGGGACAGTGACATGGACAAGATCCCAAACTCACCCTTCCCCGCTTCTTGTCTGGAAAAATGAGGTGTTGCATAAGCAGCAACAGTGTGATGCTGCTGGCTGGGCTGGCTGTGCTTGTTTGCTTTCCAGCACGACCACGGCCTCGCCGTTCAGCTCACTGCGAACTGTGTGGCAGAGTTGCTGTGGTCCCTAAACCAAATTCAGCGCCCTACTGAAACTGACTGGAAAGTGGCTTTTCAACCTTTAAGGGTTACTATTGCTGTGATAAACACCAAGACCAAAAGCAACGTGGAAAGGAAAAGGGTTATTTGGCTCACATTCTATGCTGTGGTCCATCACTGAAGGGAGCCAAGGCAGGGACTCAAGCAGCGCAGGGAGCTGGAGGCAGGAGCCTGGAGGCAGGAGCAGATGGAGGGCTGCTGCTTACTGGTTTGCTCCCCATGGCTTGCGCAGCCTGCTTTCTTGTAGAACCCAGGGCCACCACCCAGCATGGGCTGGGCCCTCCCATCAGTCACTAATTTGGATGGGCTTGCCTACGGCCAGATCTCATGCAGGCATTCCCTCAATTGTTTCTCCCTGCTCTCTAGAGATTCCAGCCTGTGTCAGGTTGACATGAAACTATCCCACACAGCCCAGAACAGCCAGAGGACAGATTCCATTTGTGTGTGAACCACACAAAGCCTGATCTGTTACCCCAGCTTCAGTCATAGAACTCAGACTCATCTTCGCTTCTGCGTGGAGGTGACCTAACATGGCACCAGATCAGAGCCGCTGCTAGGTTCCTAGGTGTTTGCCGTCTATTGTTTCTCACTGACAGACTTGTGCTGCCTGCTTCTCTCTCATAGAAATCTGACGTTTGGATGGGATGGACCATCTTGGAGGCTACTCACAGCTCTCAAGCTGTTGTGTCTAGAAGCTGAGCAGTTGTAAGTTTCCCTTGCACTGTGTGGAAGCTCCAATGGAGAATGAAGGGGCTTGTTTGGGAGGCTTACAGGAGAGGGGGAAGGAGGGGCTGTGCTGTGGAGCTGCTGTGGCCTTCACCTTCAGAGTGCACGCTCGGAAAAGTTGGCGCTGTGTCAGGTTCCCCCTGGTGACCTGGTGCTTACTGTTCTGAGTAAGAAGGAGCACAGTCAGTGCTGACGCTGCTCAGAGGCACGTCAAAGCCCACCCCCAGTGACACACCTCCACCAAGGCCACACCTCCTAACCCTTCTCAAGTAGTGCCACTCCCTGATGACTAAGCATTCAGATATGTGAGCTTATGGAGGCCATTTGTATTCAGGCCCCCTCCGTGCTATCTACAGTCAAGAGGACACACAGATATCAAGATGAACTAGCAATCATGACTGCATTCACTCAGCCTGAGGAATAACTGGGACAGTTCTGATAAAGGAAAACATTTAACTGGGGCTGGCTTACAGTCTCAGAGGTTTCAAACATGGTAGCATCCAGGAAGACACAATACTGGAGAGAGTTCTGCATCATGATCCACAGGCAGCAGAAGGGGACGGTTGGCCACACTGGGTGTAGCTTGAGCATCTGAGACCTCAAAGCCAGCTCCCACAGTGACACTTCCTCCAACAAGGCCACATCCCTTCTTAGTGACACTCTGTGGGCCAAGTGTTCATATGTCCTCTTTCGGGGATATTTGTATTGATACACTGTATTGACTGGAACAGTGAGCTCAAGGTCCTAGAATCTCCATGCAGCATTCCCTATCCCTGCCTGTCCTTGTGTGCTTTCTGCTGCTGTGACAGACACCACGGCCCAATGCAGTTTGGGAAGGAAAGAGTGTATTCTCCTTACAATACTCCCAGGTCACAACCCATGGCTGGGGGAAGTCAGTGCAGGAACTCAAGGCAGGAACCTCAAGGCAGGAATTGAAGCATAAGCCATGGAGAAATGCTGTTCACTGGCTTGCTCTTCAGGCTCACATTTAACTACCTTTCTCCTCTCCCTCCCCCCCCTCCTCCTCCTCCTCATCTATCTATCTATCTATCTATCTATCTATCTATCTATCTATCTATCTATCTATCTATCTATTATGGACACAGTGTTCTGCCTACAAGCCAGAAGAGGGCACCAGATCTCATTATAGATGGTTGTGAGCCACCATGTGGTTGCTGGGAATTGAACTCAGGACCTTTGGAAGAGCAGCCAGTGCTCTTAACCTCTTAGCCATCTCTCCAGCCCCCTAACTACCTTTCTTATATCTCCCAGGATCATCTGCCTAGGCACAGCACCACTGTTGGTGGAGACAGTGCTCCAGATGCTGTGTTACATGGAGCTATCTTCTTCCCAGATGACTCTAGCTTGTCTCTAGCTTGACAGAAGCCACCTCGCACCCTTTGAGCCTTTTCTGTCCACTGAACTAACATTACAGGAAACAGTGATCTGCGTTCTGTCTTCTTTTTCCGGTGTGTAGTGTGTATGACCTGTGTATGTGTTAGTCCCCATTTTTGTCATTGCTAAGTAGTCGTCTATTTCATAGCAGCCTAATGTGGTTTTGTGAAAGGTGGCAGAGTCATACAATCCTGAGTGTAGTGCTACATGTGAGTGGGGTCAGGTTTTATTCTCTGAGCTCTTCCTGTATGTGCCCTGACCCCCCAGTTGTTCAGGGGCAGTGGTAGGAGCTCTTACTTTTAGCGTGTGCTATGTTTTGTCTAGAAGATGGAGTGAGCTCTGTGCCTGGGGCGTCTCCTGCCTTGTGCTGTTCCCTGGAGAAGGCAGGCAGGTCTGCGGTCAGCCTGGTGCATAACAAGAGCGCAGGAAGGGCTTGGCTCCTCACCGCTTTCTCCGGTCCTCCTCTCACACCCCTTTGCCTGCCCTCCCCATTCATTCATTCATTGATCCCTTCATTTGTGCTCTGTGGACCCTGTGGGAATGAGGCATGTTTGCATCCTTTTCAGGTAGAGCAACAGCTGTTCGCAGAGGTCACCCCCAGATTAGCTTTTCTCACTGGGTCACTTGCGTGAGGGGCGTGGCTGGGTTTCTGGCTGATGAGTGCCTAGACCATCTCTGCCTCTCTGCTCTGCCTTGCGAAGTGGGGCCTCCACCTTTCCCAGTTTCGTTTCTTTGAATCTGAATGGGACAGTGTGTTTTATTTGTAGGGGATTATGAAGATTAAATTCGATAGTCATTATAGACGAGACACTTAGGTACACTGTAGCTCTTGGTGTTCCTGTGTGTAAGTCATCTCCTGGTGTTTGAGCCGTTGGCTTTGAAGCTGACGTTCAGCACTTACCTGAGGTGTCCTGTCAGCTGTTGGGAATATCTGTCTGCCTGTGTACCCTCGATCTGCATGCTTTTACCTCCTGCTTTAAGCCACGTCCACACACTCCTAGATTTCCTGCCTCTAGCCCTTGCATTTCTTCTTCCAAGTAGAGGGACTTGGGCGTGACCCCTTCTTGCTTCGAAACTTTTGGTTTCCTGGTTGCTCTCTGGACAGACCCATGTGGTCTAGGATGGCATTTGGCCTTATCTTCCCTCACCCTCGCTTCTGCTCACCAAAGCACCTGTGAAAGTGACTCACCTGCGTGTGGAGAACGGCCTGGCCGCCATCCCCATGTGTAGGGCATTTGGCAGTGAACTGTGTTCTTGGATGTCACCTTTCCCTTAAGGTGCACGCGCTCCCTCAGCTGCTGAGTCTTCTGGCTTTCCACTCTGTCCTTACAGTTCTGCCTCTTGTCCCCCTGTAGCTGGTGGGTGTGGCTCTAGTTATGTTCGCAGTGAACAGCATCGTGATAAAAAATACAGTTCAGTCACAGCTGGCAAAAAGCAGGCTAGCTGGCTCCTTAACTTACTCCTGGCTGCTTTCTTCCTCTCTGGTGGTTCCTTGACTTACTCCTGGCTGCTTTCTTCCTCTCTGGTGGTTCCTTGACTTACTCCTGGCTGCTTTCTTCCTCTTCTGGTGGCTCCTTGACTTACTCCCGGCTGCTTTCTTCCTCTCTGGTGGCTTCCATTCTGGAGCTGCAGCGATGTCAGAAGAACAGGGACATGGCCTGGGTGTCATGTTGCAGAGTGAATGCTTTCCCCAGTACCTTGGGGACCTGCTGAAATGACCTTATCGAACATTTTTCTTCTAGTCCATCCTGGAAAAAAGTCCTCCTCGGTGAAGTAATCTCAGATACAAATGAGAAGACAAGCTTGCTCTCGGCCCAGAAAATATGCTCTGATTTAATCCAGGACGCTCACAGTGTTCTGCGCAAGGTGTGTGTCCTGACACTGTACGTGCCAGGTCCCTGGCCCCCAAGGCGTCTGCCATGCTCTCTGTCAGGAGAGCCTCGGGGACCTCCGTGATTCATAGTCCCTGTGTGGCTGTGTTCACAGATTTCCCTGCACTCAGGAGAGCCTTGAGGACCTCCATGAGCCCCATAGTCCCTGTGTGGCTGTGTTCACAGATTTCCCTGCACTTAGGAGAGCCTTGGGGATCTCTGAGCAAGTGATTCATAGTCCCTGTGTCAGGCTGTGTTCAGTGATTTCCCTGTGGTCAGGAGACCTTTCGGATCTCAAGGAGCAGATGCTTTATAGTCCCTGTGTGACTGTGTCATCTGATTGATATTAAAAGTTATGTCATGGTATTGGGAGATGGCCCAATGGTGAAGTGCTTGCAAGTGTGAGGACCTGAGTTCAGATCCCCAGCACCTTTAAAGGTTGGGAATGGCAGCCTGTGTGCCTGTGCCTGAGTGCGCAGATAGCAGAGACCGCTGGATTTAGATGGAAACAGGAGACGTATGAAGCCTTGCTGGCCAGCTAGCCTAGTCCGAGTGGTGCACTTCAGGCTGGCTCAAAAACAACGTAGGGCATAGCAATAGAAGCTGGTGCTCAATGTCCCTCTCCCGCCTCCTGTCGTGCACGGGCCACGCATCCCACGGGGAGTTTTACTTGTAGTAGGACGCGTGACGATGCTGTCATACACGCCGTGTGGAGTTTCCTAGTCAAGCTCTTTAACAGATAACTCTTTTTCCGCATAGGGCTTGTTGTTCTTGTGTTGTGACGAGAGCTCTTACACTCTGACATGCCCTGCGTGTCCTGTTCTAGCCGTGGTCACGTGTTGTTCCGAGTGCTCTGGGGTCTTTCCCTCCCTCCTCTCTAGCTGAACTCTATCTCTTACGGACGTGCCCACAATCTTGCCTCCATTCACATGTAAGAACGCAAAGGCTCTGGATATTGTGCCTGGCTTATTTCATTTAACCCAGTGTCCCCCAGGCTCATTCTTCTTGTCACAAATAGTAGGGTCTCCTACTCCTGCTCCTGTTTTTAGTGACATTGAGGACAGAATCCAAGGCCTCACACCTGGGCACATACTCTAAACCTGAGCTCCGTCACCAGCCCTTGTTTTTGTGTAAGTGTGTACATGTTATGTAAGTACATTAACATTTTCTTAATTCACTCATCAGTGGGCACTTACGTTGATTCTTATTTTTTGCCTTATGTTTTATTAGAAACCATTCTTTGATTTCTTATTAATAGCATTTCAAATATTTTTCTGTGTTTTAATTTTATAAACTTTAAGTTTTATGAGAAATCATCCATTTATAAGAAACATGACTGTATTAAAATAAAAAAAATTAGTACAATTTGGAGATTTTATCCTAAATGAAAAGAAAAATACAGAAGAACAAGTACTCTCCTCTTACAGGAGGGTCCCAGAGCAGGAAGATTCACAGGGCTTGGGGGAGAGGGAGCTGCTTATTCATTCATCTTTAGAGATTTTGTTTGAGATGAAAAGTAATCTGGTGGAGAATAACAGCCAAGGTTACCCCACACAGAGAGGGAGGAGAACAGCCAAGGCTACCCCACACAGGAGTCCTTAAGGCCACCAGCTGCCTCAGAGCAGTTTACATGGTAAATTTTATAGCACATGTCTATTCTAATAAAAATGTAAAAATACCTTGCAGGTTTCTGACCTGAAGGAAGGGAAAGTGTTGCCGATAGACCAACTCTCTTTTGTGGAAGCGCTGCGGGCCGAGGAGCTGAGGCTTCTCCAGGCCTCTGCTGAGATCCTGAGCAGTTCGCTAGCCTCCTTTCCCTGACATCACGGGAACACGCGACTCCTGCCTGTGGAGGGAGTACCTTCTGCGTTTTCACTGAGGATGAATAAATGGACTTTTCTATGAAACCATTTGCAGTCTTGGGGTGGTTTCCATGAAACAGTGATGCGTTTACCATCTCTCCCTCGGCTTTTCTAGTCAGCTTTGAAGAGCGTCTCCAGGAGATGGAATGCTGGCTGCTCCCAGCACAGGGAAAGATGTCTGCAGCCAGCCCAGGAGGGGTGTAGGCATTGAGGAGTGATGGACAGATGCAGGCTGTTTCAGTGACACTTGTCATTCTTTACAAAAATAAGCATCAGTGGGCAGGAGCAGGTGGTCCTGATGAGCTGCAGAGCAGGACGCCAAGGGCCGGGCGGTCTATGTGTGGCCTGTGTCCTGGTGGCTTCCATTTCAGTCACTCATGGCTGTTAGGGGTCAGGAAGTGCACCTCTAAGCTTCAGGGTTTGGCTTAAAGGATGAGCCGGAGCCAGGTGGCTCTGGTGGCTGCTGGGTTGGTCAGGCCTTCCCTGTGTGGACTCACTGAGGAAAGTGCTGAGGAACAGTCGTGAGAGGAGTCTCCCTGAGGACAGCAGTGGCCTCTTGCAAGACAGAGGCAGGAAGGACTGTGAGCCACACAGGTCTTTCAGCTTTGTTCTGGAACTTTCTTGGGTGGCCTTTCCACGTGGGGACACAGGCCTGTTTATTTCAGGGTTCTAAAGCAGGGTTAGAGCAGGCTCTGAGATGGTGGCCTCTCGTTCCCAGGGACTCTGGGACGAGAAACAGCAGGATGGGTAAGCCGGTGGGGAGGACCCAGGGACCTAACCCAAGCCAGCATCCAGTTAGCAAACTCCTAGCCTCAGGCTTCTCCCATCCTGGTGTATAACATGGCTGCCCTTCCTGAAGCTTGGTCTGCTGCTTTTCCTGGTTGTTCAGCTGTGTTCATGCCAGGGAGTGACCTTGGCAGTGCCCTAGGTAGCTGTCGACACCCTCACTACATTTACAGTTCAGTGCAGGACAGCTAAAGCCACAGTGAATTTTGTCCTGTGTCTGTTCTCTGAATTTTGTCTTTTCTCCCCTTAGACTCAGGGTGCAGAAAAAGGGGCAGAAGTTTTGAACAGTCTGTGGCTTTCGAGGACCCCCAGATAAGTAATGGGTTAACACTAAAGGGCTTGGGGTCCCTGAGGAGGCCATGGTTGCTATCCAGAGTCCTTACTCCCTCTGACGCCCCTCTTCCCCAGAGCGCTGGTTCTTCACTCTGGGGAGTCTAGTAAGACACAGTGAGCGAGGAACGCAGGTGGTCAGGCATTCTCAGCCTGATGTGAACATCCTTGGACATCACACACAGAAGCATACACGCAAATGTAGTTTGTGTTGGGTCTCCTTTGAAAAACGTTTATGTGTGCCTTTGTGTCTGTATATGTGTAAGTGTGTGTGTGTAGTTATTGTTTTGCTTGCCCACCGATTAGACACACATACACATACACTCACACAGCTGCCCACCACAGTTCCGAAGACACAGTTACATATATATTTCACGTCTGCAATCGGTCTGGGTTTATTTGAAGGATGGCTGTGTGCCCCTGCTTTTCGGACAGTGCTGGGTAGACATCCATACAGGAATAAATGAGAAAGCACAGACCCTGGCAGGAGGTCTGGCTCCTGACAGGGCAGCTGTGACCTCTAGGTAAGAGCAGTGTGTCCAGGCCCCCCACCTGATGCGTTCCTAAAACACACAACAAAGTTGGGAGCCCAAACCTGTCTCTACACCTGGGAGGCCCAGCCTAGCATTGTCCCTTTCTGTACCGCTGCTCCCGTAGGCCTCACACATTTCCCCGCCTCCCCCCATCTGGTTACTGCTTTTCTCTGCTTCGGCTCACCTGAAGGCGGGATCCTGTTGTGCACCCCATCCCCCCCCCCATCTGGTTACTGCGCTTGTGGGTGGTAAACCTCCCGTTGCTGCCTTGGCGGGGGGGGGGGGGACAGATAGGAGTTCAGGATGAGGTGAGATCCTCATTATCCTTCAAGCTAACAGCAGGCTGTGGGTGGGGCTGTGTGTGTGTGTGTGTGTGTGTGTGTGTGTGTGTGTGTGTTGCCTTTCAGACCTGGTCTTTAGTGCTTTTGTGCAGGTAGAAGCTAGCAGTGCCACCTAGGAGCTCTGGTTCTGAGTCTGAAAGTGGCCTGTCTCCCGCTGTGGGGCAAAAGGTCTCTGAGGTTCTTCAGCACCTAGTTAGCTAACAGCAGTCCTGTCCTACATGGCAGATTAATCTTTGGTCACTTTGTCCTGAGAGAGACAGACAGACAGACAGATTGTCAGGAATGCTACAAGCTGGATCACCCAGGAGCAAACCTGACTTTGCAAAGCCAGAAAGTCAAGTGTGACCAGAAGGGAACATGGCCCACAGGAGGGAAGAAGTTGGCCCAGTGAGCATCTGAGTGTGTGTGTGTTTCCTCATGTGTACATGCGTATGCCTGTGTGAATACGTGTGTGTTCAGGAGCTCTCCCGGGTGTTTTCTGTCTATGCGGAGTTTGAAGACCGCTGACATGGAGCTCTGAAGGAAGAGCCCTGGGTGTTTGTGGGTCGTTTCTGAACTCTTGACAAGTGACAAGGAACGCAACTTCAGATCCGTGTGCAGTTTGGCTTGACAGTGAGCCACAGCGTCTTCGCGGCGTATTTACTCAGGAGGACGGGATAGATGGGATCCTGGGGTTATCTTCCAGAGCCCTTATTTTTGTGGTGGAAGCCTCAAGAGTTGGAGAAACTCCTTGGGCTGCCGAGGATTCAGGTCAGAATCCACGTCTTTGCTGCTTTCAGTGAATTCCCCCCTTTTCCTGCATCCTCTCTCACTGTACGAACAGACACCTTCCTCAGGAGTCCCCGAACTGTCTCAGCCAAGGAGCAGGAGCAGCGCTGGGGAGGAGAAAGGGAGGTGGTAGCATCCACCCAGGAGGGGCAGGGACTGCTATGTGTCAGTCTGCTGCCGTCTCTCTCATCTTTCAAACAGTCTGATGAAGCGCTGACTGCATCCTCTGTTAGGGAGAGAAACCCAGGGTTCAAGAGGCGAGTGACCCCGTCCACATCGTTCCCCTGAGGCCAAACCCCAGGAGCGTTCGGTGTGAGCTCCTCTGGTTGTCACTGATGCGTGCTTCTGGTTTCAGGGATGGGTAGCCTAGGACGCAGGGTAGTTACGGCCACCTTAAAGCGGTGTGCTTTGTGCCTTGTCCTTCGATATAATGGGCATGCAGAGCCTACCTCTTAATTACTGCGTCAATTTCCGTCCAACTTTGCCCTTATAACATGGGGAGACTCTAAGCTGATTTAAGGCCAAAAGGAGTTCAGAGTGTGTCTGCAGTCGCAGGTCAACCCCAAGACATGCTCTGGCTGCAGAGGCTGTGTTGGTCATTTCTGAAACCCGTTTTGTTACTGTCTCCCAGGATTTAGCTGGGCTTTGGACTGCAGCTTGGAAACCCTGAGATGATGTGGGTCGGCCCTGAAGAAGGTCCTGAAAGCTCCCAGTGGACAGCTGCCTGCAGCTCCCTCTCCCAGCCTCTGGGATGCAGCATCAAGCTTCTGTAACTGTTCCCGTCGGGGGCTTTCTGCTTTTAAACCTTCAATTATGATAGTTTTGGAGGGGAGAAGAGAGTGATTACCATTGCATGAACAGTATTTTCTCTAGTAGCATTTGGTGTTAAGTTGAATGCTTCATGTTTTGTTCAGAAACAGTTAAATATAAGCGCCCCGCGTATGACAAATAATGTGCTTTCCTCAGGAGGCTCCCTTAAACAAACGGTCCAGGACTGCGCAGTCTTGAGCCATTTCCATTTTCGTGCACTAGGTGGCGCCAGAGGACCATTGCACTGAGGATGCTGATTTTTGGACTCCTTCAATCAAGCAAGCAAAGGTGGCCGTCCTCATGCTCCCCATATCAGCAGGAGCCCAACGAGGCAAAAACACCTCCCTGCTGTGCTTTTGGGACAAAGTTCAGATGTTTTCACTTTGGGAAGCACCGTCTATTGGAGCAGCGAGCAGAGGGTCAGTTCCAAGTGATGTCGTGGGGCAGGGGTCTGTCTGGCCGGTGTGGCAGGGGTGGCTGACTGAGTTCAGGGCAGAGGAGGGGCCACCGGTGTTTCTCTACAGAAGAGCGAGTGGCAAGTGATGACCTCAGTACTGCGCAGAAGGACCAGGCTAACGTCCTGCGTAGGATCAGGTGCTAACGTCCACCGTAACTGAGAACTTACATGCTACTTGACAAGAGCCGCCTTTAAGGAGATGAATGGACCACCCAGACAAGGTCCTCGGGGCCTCGTCCGGTAGATCTTTCCAGGAGGGTGCGGTTTGTGGAGAGCTGGGAAGAATCTGTTTCTGTGGACAGATGGCCCAGCCTTAGTTAGGGGTGCTGCTAGAGCTGGGGGCTGAGCCCCGCTGGGCTGTTGGCTCTGCTGTCCACACAGCCGACAGGCTGCAGACTGCTGTGGCCGACTGAGTCCCACCGCACACTGACTTGGCGACGGTGGCCTGGGAAAGAAAACCCGTGGTCTGCCGAGTGACCGGGCATCTATTGTTACCTGCCTCGCGTCCTGGATTTACCAGGCACGACTGGAAGTTACCGTCGTGGTTTTTCCTTTTAGTCCTGTCTTCTTCCAACATCTGCTGATTTTGGTCCTTGGGCTTTTGGTGTGGTTTGTTTTTGGCACATTGATCTGCATGAGGCCCTTATCACAGCACTGGAATGTCACTTAAAAGAATTTCAGCTAGAAACGGATACACTAGCTCCTCCTGATTTGAGCAGTCCCACCGGTCGTGTTTGGGACCCAGCTGTTGATTGAACAGCACGTGATTCTGCTTGCTCTTGCTCCAGCGCTGTGTAGCCTGGGTTGGGCGCCCTGGCTCACCTGCGTACAATTGGCAGGCAGCTTCCGAGGGAGTGTTCAAGGTTCTCTGACAGGAGGCAGCATTTCTGACCCCAGCAGGAGGAGCAAGGCCCCGTCAGTGGACACTGCCCGCCTGCCTTCGTCGTCCTTCGAGTGTACCACAGAGGCTTCTGTGGGAGAGGACCCTGTTGTCAAAAATGCTCCTGGGAAGGGAAGTGAGTG